GCAAGTTTTAATACGTTTCACCCAGCATATTTATATCGCACTTTGATGATTTATTCACTAATATAAGTGTGTTAAATATTAAATGATCTCAAAGAATTTTACCATAGAGTAAGCACACATAGTGAAATCTACCATAAAATAAGATAAATACATTTAGAAACATTATTACATTCATGTTACCGGGCATGAACTCACCAACTCATATTAAAATGAGGTTCATATTTTAACAGTAGGATAGGAAAACTGGTAACTACAATATTCAGTAATTGGTTCTGGTTATTTGTAACTATTGTTTCTATATTGGATGAATCACTGCAATATACTAGTTCAACCTGACTGACCCCTCTCTATGAATTGCCTGATGACCATGTTACCTCTGATGATCACTCTTGCATACTTGATATTTCTACCATAGAACTTTCACATTCTAATTCGTCATTAAGTCTCTATGGAAATACCCACCTCTATATTTACACCCTCAGGTATATAGCACAATATCAGCTTCCTTTGTTATTGAATCCTGTAATTTAGCATGGTCTCATTGCTTTTACATATATGAAATACAGAAATTATGTTCATACAATAATATAGATCTATAGTTTCCAGTTAATAATGTAAATGTTGTATCTCTATGTTTCAAATGTTATGCAATTAATAATTTAATCATCTGTTAGTTCAAAAATGTGATTCAAATCAATGTAAATAAACTAGTGACAAAAAAGGCTCATTTTTCAACTTACATTTATTTAACCATTTATTTCAATATATACACTTACAATACATAACAGTAAAATAAACAACAAAATGGCTTATTTTATAATTTATATGTTTTTGAAAATGAGTAAAGAACAACAGAGCTTGTAAGTTACAATACCAATGAGGGATGACAGTGCATTATGTTGTATTGGTTTTCCAGGTTATTGTTTAACAAGAAACTCCTTCTCATATCGATTGCTCAACAAATAAAATCTTTATCCACCACTATCATGGTCTTCGTTTTATCACTTTAACTAAATCGATATGTCTCGATGTAAATGGCATCCCCACTATGATTAATTCCTGTAAACACAATGCATATCTATAAACTTACCCAAAACAATCCCAATAATTATAGCAACTTTCATTGCTCACTAAAATGCAATTGTTTGTAGCTACCCTTCACAATTACGTTCTCTTCTTTGCATAAAGTAGTTTTCATCTTTATTTTGTATTTTCATCAAAGAGTACATTCACTACAAGAGTCTTATGTATACAAACAATTTATATACAATATTCCACGTAAAGGTTGTTCCAGCCTGGAAGTATACAACATGGTCAGGGCCTTTAGAGTTTGCATTTTCATCTATTTTTTTATTACAGTCTGAGGCTCTGGCTGGATATCTCATCATGATTGTAGAAAGTCAATGCTCCCTACTTCTACTTTGACCACCAAATAGACCCCCGACATGACATAATAATGCAATGACATAATAATTTGTTATTATCGTTGCTAAGTTAAACTACCAACTACGATTAGCAAGATGTGGGATTGTGTGTTGTGCCATGCTAATTTACCAAACACATATTAATCAGCACAAAGTACAATAACACATAATAGTTCAATGGATCTATGCTGATATTAGTGATAGGGGTTGAGCTCATCACAACCCAAACTTCCGATTAAAGAGGCATCGCATCCGACATTAACTTTAAGTCCTAAACTGAAGATTACAATTTACTTATGTTCAGAGGCAAAGTGGATACCATTAAGCATCTTAGAAATGAGCTGGTCACAACTAAAAAGAGAAACTAGTCTTTGCACCACACATAAACTGTACACAATTCACCACTTGGGACGAGAAGCAAGCCTGCAATAATACTGTGGAGTAGGACTGAGTTTAAATAATGATTCCAAGTTCTCACGTAAGGTAAAAAATATAATTTCGGCACGAAATATTTGCCTGATTCCTCGGTAATACATGTTTCAAGACACTAAAATAGTTGAGTAAAAAACATATTTTTTTCAATTTTCAAAAATATTTAGTCCATACTAGGAAAACTCCAATATTTTACCAGAGGTCCCAAGACTACATGTTTCTTGCCATTTAAGGCGATTCCAGCAACACGTTATATTTATAAATATTTCAAACCAACTGGTGCAAATCTCACATGATACAGACATTAATGGGGATTGGAAATATTTTTGGAGATGGACATTTGCATAGAAATGTATAGAGAGTAAGCACAATTTTTAAAAAGTGGCTTAAAATCTCCCCATGTTATTCTCATAGGTAAAACACCAAAAACACCTCTTTGTCCTATTCTATCTATTGGCTTGAGATACAGAAAAAACAGTAAATAAACATTTAGGCACACTACATTGGTTTCAACTTTTGATAAAAAACAATAAAAATCAAATACTATTTTAACATTATTTTAAATGAGTACAAATAAATCAAACAGTTATCATGAAAATGTTATAAGTCTATACTTAATTCCATTATTTTAAAAGTCCATTATAAATGTTCTAAATTTGTGATTTTATCACCAGACGTCCCTATAACTCAAAAGAATTATATTATTTTATATGAGTACAAATAAATCAAACCGTTTTCATTTGTATGCCAATGCATTGTAATATAATATCAGCATTAGTAAATAAAGGTCTGCTTTATTGTTTATTTATATCTCAAAAAGGCTTGATATACAACAAAACGGCTAAAATTCCAGCCTACATACTACATGACCTTCTACATAATAATACAGCATAAAAAGTTTAAACAATTAAAACCATTTACCAGTTTCTTTTGTATGTAAATGTGTTATAATATAATTTCAGCAATAGCAATGGTTTCAAACTCCAGGTGTTGCCAGCACGGCACTGTCGGAGGCATGACGATGTTCAAAGTGATGCGCCTCCTATCACTTACATGTTTGTCTAGCTTCTAATAAAAATATTTATAACATGAAATTTATATATTAAAATTCTACATGAACTACTGTTTAATACAATATAAATATAATTTAATTTGTGCTAGTGTATAATTATTAATTATGGAAAATATAAAAAGGTTACTTTGAGTAAACATGAAAAAGTGAGTAAGCGAGGATTTTTTTTATTTTTCGGTCAGAGAAAAACTGCCAGTGGGAAAAGTATAGATGACTAGATATTCCTCAATTTTTGTTTCAAACATTTTTTCATAAGACTTTTAGTTTGTCATCGCTGGGGATCAGAAGTATGCCTATAGGTCGGGAGTGCGCCCGAGTTCGCGTGCCGAGAGCCGGGTCTTTAAAAAAAGTGGTCAAAAAAAGCTCTTCATTTCCAGACATGTTTTTCAGTATTAATAACATTTTTTTACCAAAAAAGTGCCCCCATATAGCCTCTAAAACGCCAAAAATGGGGTAAAACCATCATATTATACCTATTTGGGGTGTTTTTTCGCCAAAAAATTTAAAAGTCCTGAGTCCGAAAACGCCGAAAGTGGGGTCATATTCTGGGTTTACCACTACTTGTTTGGAATTTATTTTATGCCTTGAAAGTTTTATGCTTTTGAAAGATGCATGTATGTGCACGTTACTTCTGCACATAACTCCTGAAATTATTCTTCATCACCGACGCCTAGTTATGACACTAGAAAAATTCATCGGTAGTTGAAAGTGATTGGCTATTGTGTGTTTAAAACGCTCTTAATACTCCTTAACCGTACTAATACTCTAAGAGAAAGATGTTATTTTTATGCAGCATCTGGCTGACAGACGGATTCCTCAGTTGAAATTTCATTTACCCATCAGGACAAATGTTTTCAAATAATGTGCTTCATAAATACTAACTATTCTAATGAAACATTCCTAGAACTTGTTACTTCTACGAATCTGGTTGCTGGCGATTTTATATATTTGCCCCTCTATCGAAATCCAACCATTTTACCTATAGGTCAGTAATTTTGATAAGAACGATTTTATAATTTTTTTGGAGTTAATCCTATTAAAGTTAAAGTTTTAGCATGTCCCCTTTACATGCTAGTAGGGAATTTCATTCTTTTTATTACTTAATGAATACATTTATTAAATAACCCCACCGCAGCAAACCTGCAGACTAAGCAAATTTCTATTTGCCTGATTGGATTTACACTAAAATGTCTCCTTAAAAATATCACATCTATTCCCTATTTAAATAGAATTATTTTAACGAGTACAAGTTTACTGGAACAGGGAAGATACAAAAGTGAGTAAAAAAAACGTTAATGGTTTAGTAAAAAATAAATGAATTTTCCAAATTTGATCTAAATATGTTCGTAAATAATTCAACCAACTACTGAGACGCTGACCACTTATTTGACCACTGAGCACACTGAACTGCCCTAAAACGACCTCTGAGCTTAATGGGTATCCCAGTTTTGACAGATCTTTGACCACAAGCGCAATGTGCACGACTGCAGTCATTAGACAGAGCAGACATCATAATCGAAACAGTAATATCAAGCTTATAATCCCTAGATAGCTACCGTCTTGAAAGCAAACTCATAGTTTTATTAATAAATTTGTGTGTGAAATAAATTTAAAGTTCGATGGATGATGAATATGAACAAAATAGGTGTAATGGGTACTTAGGTATAAAACAACAAACCTGTACCTATAAACCATGTTATAGTAGGAACAATCTGAATATAACTTAAACGTGTTTCACTTACTCCTGCGATTCATTAAACGATAAAGTACAGTGTGTTTAACATTGCTATTGACACAAAAATACAGCTATAAATACTTTCTCCGGCAACAATGTTTTAAACCTCGCAAACTCTAAACGAAGTAGACAGTGGTTTTGGATGTAGGTCTCATCTTAAACACTATGTTTAGCTACTATGCGTGGTGGAAGTGATTTCATGGCCACTAATCCTAAACGGAAAAGAACAGTGAACCTACACATAGGTGTTATTGATCAAAGAATACTCTAAAATTTGAGCTAAAAAATTTAAAAAATAAGTTAGAGCAAAGTTTATTTTAAGTGTAGTTGTACTCACCACTGCCATGACGGGAGGATGAGGAGGATGTTGTGAGAGTGTGACTGTTGTACAGCTGATTATATACACGAGTATCTGACGATGATACAGTTACTGTTGTAGGGTCGTGCCTCAGTTACCTCACCTGTCAATATATCTAAGTGTCATACCAAGGTCTTGCGGCAACATAGAGGAATGCAGATATCGCTGAGGGAATGAGTATTTTGATAAAAATCTAAAATGATCATTCCTTTTATATATATAGAACACTCCTTATATATATATATATATATATATATATATATATATATATATATATATATATATATATATATATATATATATATATATATATATATATATACATATACAGGGTGAGTCTTCTAAGCTGTCCTAAACAGATTACAGACGAACGGCTTGACATACAGAGATGAAACAAAACTTTTCCCCACTAATTCATACCTAAGGAACAACGTAAAAATGTTTTTACCATTTTTAAAATACAGGGTGTTCAAGAAACTGGGGGTCATGGGTTCGAATCTCAGAGTTTTCAAACGTAAACATATGTCATGTTATGCATCATTGTAAAGCTCTAGACTAGACAAACAATTTAGTGAAAACAGAACTCATTTATCTTTGTCCGTTTCAAAATGGCGGCCGTTTTTTTAGAAAATATTTATATTTACAGAATACCCTGTATCTTGAAAACCGCTAAACTTATTTTCGTTCTGTTTGAAAATTCATAATCCTCGTAGGTTCAGCTTTAATTTGATATACGACAAGTCAACATTTAAAAAACTAAATATTTTTTCTATGATTTTAATTTTTTTTTAAGTTGGTAAATGAAAATTTTTAAATGGTAACATATGTAAAAGTGTGTATAATTTTGAAGGTCTTGTAAAAACAAACAACTTTTAAATTTAAACCTACCGTCTATCTTTGGTCGTTTTATAGTAATTAACCAAAAACTCCAATTGCCCATATAAAACCCATGTTAAACACGCAGTACCATGGGAATAGTGTATCTCCATCCACTAATCTTCAGTACTGTACGTTTAACATGGGTTTTATATGGGCAATTGGAGTTTTTGGTTAAGAGTCTTCCTTAGTGGAAGCCATGTTGGATTTCTTCCCCATAAGAACAATGTTAACTTTGGGTCCAAATATCTCATCAGCAAATTGTCATATAATTATGGATAAGGAGTTAAATTTAAGGAATTGCGGTCCTCTAGAGATTGACGTTTTTTATTTCACAATTTTTAATTTTTATAATGAATAATTGATTATTAATTAGCTTAAAATTAAGCTAATTATTGAAAGGAAATGAAAATGGATTTTCGAAATTCAAAAACCTCAGTCACGAGTCTATTATGTTAAAAATACAAATTATAAATTTCAAAGCTATATCTTAACAAATAACGCCGTTACGTGTCCACAAATGATGTAATGTTTAACATTGTTCTTATGGGGAATAAATCCAACATGGCTTCCACTAAGGAAGACTCTTAATTACCATAAAACGACCAAAGATAGACGGTAGGTTTAAATTTAAAAGTTGTTTGTTTTTACAAGACCTTCAAAATTATACACACTTTTACATATGTTACCATTTAAAAATTTTCATTTACAAGGCTACCAACTTAAAAAAAAATTAAAATCATAGAAAAAATATTTAGTTTTTTAAATGTTGACTTGTTGTATATCAAATTAAAGCTGAACCTACGAGGATTATGAATTTTCAAACAGAACGAAAATAAGTTTAGCGGTTTTCAAGATACAGGGTATTCTGTAAATATAAATATTTTCTAAAAAAACGGCCGCCATTTTGAAACGGACAAAGATAAATGAGTTCTGTTTTCACTAAATTGTTTGTCTAGTCTAGAGCTTTACAATGATGCATAACATGACATATGTTTACGTTTGAAAACTCTGAGATTCGAACCCATGACCCCCAGTTTCTTGAACACCCTGTATTTTAAAAATGGTAAAAACATTTTTACGTTGTTCCTTGGGTATGAGTTATTGGGGAAAAGTTTTGTTTCATCTCTGAATGTCAAGCCGTTCGTCTGTAATCTGTTTAGGACAGCTTAGAAGATTCACCCTGTATATATATATATATATAGAATGTAGTTGTTTGGTGACTCGTAATTTCAACACACTTTCCGACACACTTTAGCTAAAAGGGCAGCTTTCAATACATTAGTTGGTGTTGAAGAAGATCTGATTCTCCCTACAGGAGTAAAATTTATAGTATAGGCCGCACGCAGATTCTTGGATAGGAAATGATAGAGCCTTTTGTAGCTCACATTATAAATTTCTAAAACTTTAAATTACAATTGCCAAAAATTTCACTAGCTAATTTTCATTCGTCACTGTAAGTTCGATAACTATACTTTCAGCTTGAAAATGATGTTTTGACTCTAGATTTAACAGTGAAAACGTTTGGAATTGCTTTGTACATTGCCGTTATCGGAAATTAAAGTAAAAAAAAATTATTGATGCATAATAAGATAGTTTTCCGGGGTTCATGGTGTCCATAATATTGCATCGATAAACGTTAAAACATCAAGCCTAAACTTAGCTTTGTACTTATATCTCCTTTCAGCTTAGTTAGGAAATTTAATCATCTGATTAGCATGGGATGTTGTGAATATGTCAAAATGACATTATAATTGTACAGCGAATTATTCATTGACCCAAGTTACTTGCTTTTAACGTTCTCGCACATATAATATGTTTCTAGCCTTAGAATATTATAAGATTCAATCCCTTCCTCATAAACATCAAAATTTTCAATACGATTTTTGGAATTAAAGAGCAGACAAACAACGAAATTATTAGTCACAATAAACAAACATTATAACAACAAACCACCATTTAAATTTGTATTAATTAATTAGGGGATTGACTTTCACAAATATTTAGGCGAACGATTAATTCATATTTCTAGTTCTTTAAACTGGAAACTTCTCCTTTTTTTAAATTTCAGAAAGTAACAAAAAACTACGTTGAGTCAAAACTTATACTTTTACTTTCTCCCCCTATACCATAGTATATCATGAAGAAACTAACATTGAAAACTTTCATTGTTTTCGTCAATTTTTCGAGTTTGAGTTTTGAGTGGATACATCCGTTATGGGTCCCCTGGACCCAAAAATGTGGTTTTCGAAGTGATGTCTGTGTGTGTTTGAATGTGTACAGAGCTAAGGACTACACCTGTGGTCCGATTTCGATGAAACTTGGTGTGTAGGTTCTAATCAATGGTATCTACAGGAGTTTTAAATTTTTTTTTATGTAGGTTTTTCCATAAAAGCCTATAAATTAACGGAAAATCGGATTTTCTCGCAAATGGCTAGAACGATTTTCCAAAAAAATGTAGTATGTTGTCCTTTAAATTCTGATCAAAAAAGTACAAATCCCAATTCTGTAAAAATGGCGGTTCAAAGGTTATTGTAACTTATGCTATTCATTTTCCCATATAAAACCGTAAAAAAAAGAAAAAATCAAATTTTTGATAAAAGCTGGTTTTTATTAAAATTAATATGTTATGGTCCTTATAATTAAAAAAAAAAAAATAGTACAACACCCCTATTGCTGTCACAATTACGGTTCAAAAGTTTGAGATTTGTTACTATAAAATATCATATTTACTCTCACGGCTTACCCATGATAAAGGGTGTTGACGAGCTTATAGGAGAAAGTATGTTTTAGAATGCTGATACCGTTTTTCGATTATGTTATTGTTGTATTTAAAAAAGGTCTTCTTTGAGGGATGTTATCTCTTATTAAAAGTTTCAGAATATATATATTTTTTTATTGATATCTAGTTTTAAATAATGTTATATTTAATTATTTCTCGTTTTATGATCCTAAGTATTGTTTGTGTTCTTGAAATATTTCATTTGAAATTCTTTCTAATTGTTCAACGTAATATTCATTTATCAAGTTCAGACATTTTATTTGGTATGCCTATTCTGTCGAGCTTGTGGTATTACACTACTATGTGCTCTACATGTTACAAGTTTGGCACTTGATGTACCTCGTCTGTGTTCCCCCGACCTTGTCCATTGTCAAGCCAAGAGTGGTCGGACTGTCAAGTGAGGGTCTGTATGTGTTACTGAGAGACTGTTACTGTTACAGTAGCGCCACTATATAAGAGGAGGGACGGTCTCTCGCCACACACTGTAACACACCATGGCCAGGGTAAGTAGCAACAAACTAGCTAATAAACTGTATATTTTACTTCTACTGTGAATTTTACTTTTCAATTACAGCTTTAAAAATACAATCAGTTGTTGCGATGTTTTTAAGGCAACACACCGATTAGTTCAGCAGTGCTAGATTGTTTCCTTTAAAATGATTTGCAAAAATCAAGCACAGATTTTTCTAAAATTGACCTCATTAATATTTTATAACTTAATAAAATAAACGAAAAAAATCATTTATTATTATATATAAAATCTTAATACTGTAGGATACTTAAAAACAACGGGTATAAGAACTCATATTAATAATTTAATAACTTATTTACCTTGCTTTAAAAAATAACTATACTGCTGACATCGACAGGATACCCAACCAGGATACAATTCAGTTCCTATAGTTTTACAAAGAGGGAAACATAATAATAAAACAAAACCTTCTTATTGGTATTTTATGTTGAAGGAGATTAAAAAATATAAGATAGAATCAATAAATTAATTCGTCTTGCAAATATCATTTGTAAGAATGCGTTTCCTTGTTTTTGTATTACAAAATTAAAACGTTAATGCTTTGATCGGATAGTTTTTAAATCTAATCTATTCATTTTGAATGGTGGATGGTGTGATAGGACAAAAGCACTGGTGAACAAGTAAACATTGGTAAATAGAAGCCTAACAATTCATTAAAACCCATCGTTAAAGTCTCTGGAATATATAAATACGTTCTTTGTTACACTCCTTTAAATACTGGAAAAATACATGAATCCAGTAATGCATCATTATTCCACCAATAAAAAAAAAAAACTGGTGTTCCAGTGATATTTGTGTTCCAGTGTAAGATATTTGCTTGGTAATAAGCAAAGCAATTAATTGACACTGCCTATAAAAGAACTTCCATGTACAACAGTGTTTAAGTCCTACTAAATACAAATTTCCGTGAAATTAAACTGCCAATACCGCACACAAAAGTAAGTAGCATTTTACACAAATTAATTTGGCGGTGGTTAAGGATCTATTCATATTGGCTCAGACCAACCTCAATAACATTGAATTCGTCTTGGACATATGCATACATTAGCTGGGTGGTTTAGATATAAGAGATAAATAACGATGGACAATCATGAATACTGAATAAATAGATACCTCAAAAACTTTAATTTTTGAGTCAACTGCAGGGTTTTATGTATTTTACCAATTCAAAAGCCGTTTGAACCCAACGTGACAAATTTATAAGCCATTGATTGTCCTATTTCTTAATTACACAAATTAAGTACGATAACTAAAATGTATAGTTACATAAAAAGGAAACATTTATTAGGCACACATTGCACATTTTACAACAGAATCATAAGGCTATTTTTAGTGTCAAAAGGACATGGTTCAGTACATATAACTAATATACAATTTGTGTTGGTAGTTTTAACTAAGAATTACTTTAGAAATCCTGTTATGGTTTGATAGCCTCCAAAGAGGGTTTATATGTTCATCTACATTGTTTATAACTAAGCTTGGAAATATTTGAGTTCACTGTGAATAATCATTAGTAACAGATTAAACGTACAGCATTAAACTAAGTAAAATTTGTTTTTTCAGTGTATTTTGATGCTAACGGCGTTAGTGGCGGTGGCGCTGGCTGAACCCCCAGTACCCCAGGGTCAATACGGAGCCCCTGGAGGAGGCTACCCTGGTGGCGCCCCTGGTGGAGGCTACCCAAGTGGCAGACCATCGTCTCAGTATGGAGCTCCGGGCTTTGGGGCCGGTGGAGGATATGCGGTATGTTCAATAGCAGTTATAGTCAAAAGTATGAAGAGAAATGTTCTTTTATCCAAACTAAGTATCTCAAAAACAAAACATTTTACAACCTAAGTTACCACAGTTCAATTGTCATACAGTTGTCACTTTACGGCGTGGACTTCACATTAATCTAATGCAACATTAATTTTGATTTGTTGATAAGCGGGATTACAAAATCGTCAGTTTTAGTTCAATCCTAACTTGAAGACTGCTTTTGATTATTAGTTGACCAATAAGTAGGCTGCTTGGAAAATTACCAAAGTAAGGAAGTTTTTAATGTTTTATATGTCTTACCTTTAATTTCTTTAACCCAAAGCTCTATAGTCCGATGCGGTTTTGCACATTAATCCAGTCTAAGGCTTTAGGTTCCTGGCTTTATCACAGTTAAAATAAATTTACCATTAGCGGGATCGAAACCAGTATTCGTCTTTCTGTTGGACTAATGGCAAAATAAACTTAAGTTTAAGGTTAGTGGACAGGACTGAATAGTCTCAGTAATATGAAGGTTTTACCTAAAAATATGGAGAATTGGAAAACAGATTGCTTTAAGATAACTGGAGAGTGCTTGCCCTTTTAAACCCTCCCTACTATAAATCAGGAAGGATATGTTTAAGCATATATGTGAGGATGTCCCAAAAAGTTATTCAAAAACTTGCTTGTCTTCCCAGGGAGCCGGAGGTGCCTACAAGGACCCCAGAGACAGCCCCATGTTCACCCACGAGCAGGACTTCCAACGACCTGGAGGCGAGATTTGGGGCATGTGGACAGTAGCGCTGCCAGACGGGAGAATACAGAAGGTGGAGTACGACGCTGACGAGACAGGGTTCCACCCGGTCATCACTTATGAGGAACCCGGCAGTGGGGGAAACGGAGGATACGGGAGTGGAGGAAACGGGGGATATAACAGTGGGGGTAATAGCGGTTACAGCAATGGGGGTGCCGGTAGACAAGGAGGATATAGGTACAGATAAAAATGATGACATAATATTGTACAAATATTAACTAGAATAAGTGATCCAAACTGTATATATTTTGTATTCTACCCACAGCTATTGATAAATGTACACATTATATTTTATTTAAAATTCAATTATCACAAAACCTTTTGTGTGCAAATATAAATTTGTAAGTTTTGTAATTAAAATTTGTAGAGTGTTAAATAATTTGTAGCAGATTTAAAAAAAACAAATACAATATTTTTATTGATATCGTTATTACTTTTCCTTTTGTTTATCATTATGTAGCGCTCGATTTTAACTTAGGTGTTAGGGTAAGTGTAATAAAGAGCCTGACGGCAAACATGTCTTCCTCCCGAAGTAAATGTATATATTTTTTACTTAAACTCCATTGTATTAAGCTGGGGGTTTTATGTAGATTATGCAGGGTGTCAGCAAAGATTAATTGAAGACGTTCAGGCAGGTTAAATGTTATAGAAACAATGCAAAAGTTTAGAGAAACATAAAATATATCGGGAGTGGAGGTTTTGTTTGTTTTCCTCATTCCTTCGAGTGAAATTAACAATAATCAAATCTAACGTTAAATATTCTATTATGCACGGATGGAGTCAATTTATTTTAGTAATTAAAAAACAACCCCACTGTATGTTAATGTACATACAGTTGTGGTATTATGCAAAGTATTTAACATCAACCTGATCATCTGCTGTTAATTATCATCCGTTGGTACGAAATAGAAGGCTTCCGCAAACCTTTATCTGAATTAGTTCCAAAAGATTATATTGGAGGAATTTATTGATAAACTAATTTGTTTGAATAATGTCTAAGCGGTAATAGACAAACATCTTGTTCCGTACGAGCTGAACGGTTTTGTGGGAAACTTTAGCTGGAAGAAAGTAATTCCACGAAAGTTAAAAAAACAGAATGTGACATACATCGTATTGTAAGAACTGGATTTTCCATAATTTAATGAATAATGTTACCAAAGGACTTGTGTGCTACAGTATGTGTTAAATTGGGAGTCAGGAACGGACCCTGGATTAGTCATGTGACTGGTCTTGAGAATAACTTTACTTTAAGAATTAAGTTTTGGTAGGAGAGAGCCAAGTTCAATAATCAGTATTTGATCGGGACTTGGAACAATTTTCACCTATATCGAGTTATCTTCAGTGTTGTTATCAGTTATCAATTCAGTGTTATCAGTATGAGTTATCTTCCTTTGCTCAATAGTAACAACTGATGTTTTTTCTTTTGTACTGTACTTTGTAATTTGCTAATATACTGTGGGTAGATGGCTTATTATGAACACAAGTCTTTTTTACTTTTTCCTTGTCATTTTGTTCAACCAACATTGTTACTTAGCAACTCATAAGGCTAATGTAAAAAAAAGTGTTGACTTTCAATTTTATTTTTTTTACGCAATTAGATTTTTGTTGGCATTTTAAACTGCATTAAACACGTTTTTAGGCCAGAAATTAACTATTTACAACATTTGAAGGAAATCGTGTGCAAGCAAACATACAAGCAAACATAGCTGATATAAGAGTATATGATAACAAATAAATGATAAAGTCCTCTATTAAGTTCATTCAAAAGTCATAGTTTCTGAGAGACTCATAGTTAAGATGTACAGTTAATATTTTTATAAATCTGCTAAAGCTCCTAAACTAATAGGTTCAAACGTTCAAAGAAAATAAAAAAAGTAAAAAAAGAAATATAACTAAATTGTTTTATATTTATATAAAATTTGTTTAACACCATAAAATACAAAGGTGATCCATACGATATTATACAATGATGGCTATTTGTAAAAACATGTAATTTATATATTTGTTATTTTTATAAAGTTATAAAATTGAAGTCCATGATTTAAAGTTTTTTTAGTGTAAACTTTAAAGAAAAATAGTAAGATATCAGTGATGGCAGTGTCAAATGGTACTTTAAAAAAATTGCTTTTACATTAATTACTTTCATTTACGTTCTTCCTTAAAATTTATTCGTCTATTAACTTCTACGTTTACATCTAGTTAACATATACTTCTAGGTACTACACTAATCAATAATTTGCAGGTTTACTTTATAATCAAACATAAATTTTCAGTCAAGAATATGTTTAAATGTTCATTTATTACAAGTTATTGCGTATGAATTCAGTTAAATTCCGTTAGATCACCCCTGTGTGCTGTGAAAAAGTTGGTTCATTCTGGTCAACTGATAGTTACCAGGGTAGTTATTTCATCTCCATAATTATATTTATGACAAAATAGTTCCTAAAAAAGTACATACAGTGAGTATAAGTCACAACCTTGATCCACATTGCGTTTAAAAGAGTTGATCAACCAACCGATTATGATCTAGATTTTAGATGTTGACTACATTATTTAGTTAAAAAAATATCCAATTGCAGTTTCCAATTCCAGTTATGCAACTTATATAATATAATTTGTCGTTCAATTTAGGGTCTTGACTACAGGGTATAAAATCATAATTGGTACAAAAGTTGACTCTGACCATTTTAGATCAGTCTCCTGTAAAACTGGCTTAAAGTAATTTATTGAAGAAAATGAAATGGAATGAAAAATCATTTATTTTTTCATGAAAAGTTAGCCTGATTTGTTAGGTAAGTTCATAAATGTGTTAGGTCTAATTGTCTTTGTGTAAGCACATCCTAAATTGGAGGGGCTGGAAACTTAAAAGTTTACTCAGAAGATCTAATTTAACGAAAATAAGTAATGATTCGGATTAAAGAGGATCTGATAGGATTAAGACCAAATACACTTCAAAATCTCATATCATTATAAACATTTCTAAATTGTGTATAAATCTACTATTTTAATTTTCCATTCCACAAAAAATTGTTTGTAAGTAGAAATTTAACGGCACACATGAACATAAAACCCGTCATGGTTATGGGAACTAGAAATAAAATAGTACTGATAAAACCCCTACAGTACCATATCCTTCCCAGAGGAGCGAGCTGGTCTAGTGGTAAAGAGCGGGACTTCGGTCCCCGAGGTCCCGGGTTCAAATCACGCCAATCACCAATGGATTGTATCCATGTGATAATGCCGCAACCCACTAGTACTAGCCTGAAGTGATGTATAAAACAGTTCCAGGCTAGAACTAGCGTTCTAGGATGTGAAGGAAAATATCCTTACCAGAAGTCAATAAACGGAGAATCATTGAAGCACAAGAACTTCTCACAAGAACACTTAATAGGTTACAAGCATGTATTTGAAGTGTCGTGCATGATGTTTACTGTTCAGAAAAATTATCGTGGAATTGAGTAAAACATTTTTATTGTTAGATTTTGGAAACTTTTTGTCATAAGCTATAACGATTCACCTATATGCTCCTGTTAAATATCTAAGGAATTTCCCCAAACTAGCATAACCTCTGGCCTTGACCGCAATAGTTAACCTTTTAATAAATTACCTTTTAAGAAATAACACAGCTGCACAAAACATCTATCACCCACGACACGGATTTTCTATTCATATTTCAGCACAAATACGTCTCAGCAGTCCCAATCTCAAGTGACACTGAAGTGATATTGGATCATCAGCGACTTAACGCAAGGCACATGATAGGATTTACAACTGTCAATGTTGACAGTGGACTATGTCTTGTATCCACATACAAGTGAAGAATTACACTATATTAGATACGCATCTTATTGCATCAAACGCGTAACCTTCGAAAGGAAAAGTTGATCAAGCATAAATCATCTGGCAAGGTTTGGTGGTCTGTGGTAGTGATTGCATTCATTTAAAGTAAGACGATCATGATCATGATGATGATCACGAGCCTTGATCGTGTGGCCGGATGATTGACGATCATGCAGCGGTAATCACTAATAGCTCCCGGTCCCGTGATATGGCGTATAACATATGTAACATTTAATATACACTTGCAGTCGTATGCGATGCTGTTAAGCCACCCGTCACGACGACGCGTCACGAGCGCTCCAGGTGGGAGGGTCTGGAACTGATTTACCGTGTTTTATTGGTGTTCATTTACACCAATGCAATGGAGTGTATGCATTTACCAAACACTTCATATCCAAACTTGGGACAATATGTGAACAAACAATGTAAAGTGTGGGAGTAAAAACCTTACAAATAATGTAAGGTGTTTGGGTGAGTCACAGTCTTCAGGATGGAAATTTTTTCAAAGAAAAAGCAGAAGGGTTTAGAGTAGTGTTATAAAAATAACTCAGCAATGAAAATCTTTTATACCCAACACTGTTGATTGACAAGTTTTAAACAATACTTCTCACTTTGAATACAAATAGTAACTGGTACCCATGAATATTTGCCTCTTACTCCTTACCAAGTTGTGTAACTTTTTAATAAGCAAACACATTAGGTCTTAAATCTACAGTGGAATAAACTAAGGTAGCTTTAAATGTTGTTTCGTCTATAGTTAAAACATAATCAACATTAGTTTTATATGAAATTATACAACGCTTTATATTCACTTAAAAGCCATGCAGCTTCACTAATGTTTGTAAAAAGTAGATTAAACCTTTATATGCCAACGATGACAGTAAGCTGATGATTAGTTTAACAAACCATCTTCTAATGTTATATGATTATCACGTCACTAAAGTTGTTATTCAACATGACGAAGCTGAAGGTGCAGATAATATTTCTGATCGTCTTGAACCGTAAGGGATTCAAGAATTGCTCCGATTCACATTTTTGTAGTATCACCATTAAAAGCAGTGCCTGTGGGTGCACATTCTTTCGGAATATGTTTGGTGAAATACTGTAACACTAAATTGTAGTATATTTGCAATTTTTCACCACTAGGTTTGTTTAAGCAACATACAAATTGATCGCTCTAACAAGTAAATGTTTACAATACTGATTCAATTATAATGGTAATACTGCAAAACTTACAAAATGGGGGGTACTGCAAAACGTCAAGTGGTAGAGCGCAGGATTTTGGTCTCTGAGGTCCAGGGTTCAAATCTCACCAGATCACCAATGGATAATGCCACAACCATAATGGATAATGCATCTAAGTGATAATGTCACAACCATAATGGATAATGCATCTAAGTGATAATGTCACAACCATAATGGATAATGCATCTAAGTGATAATGTCAACCCCTCTAGCTTGAAGTGATATGAAAACAATCCCGGGATTGGGCAAAATAAGGACAAAAATGCCTACAAGATAAAAACATTTCTCACTTACTTTATTCTCAGTTATTCACAATATCTATGCATTTATAAGTACATAAAAAAAGTTAGTTAAAAAAGCTCCTTTCATGGTTTACGTAGAAGAGTCCATTTATTTCGATTCAATTTCCCTGCAACAATTTCAGTTGCAGTTTCTTCTAATCATTCATTGAAATGCAAACGTGAATATTCATCAGAATCTTATAACCAGATCGAATAAATACTTACCACCACCAATGTGCTACGTGATTTAGAGGCTATTTACTATCCATCCGTACGATTTATAGCGAAGCTTTCAAATACACGGAACGTTTTCTGTACCTTATTCTTATCCGTGTTTGTTTTAGAAAATAATTGAACCTACTAATGTAGGCTCCGAGCCACCGGACCAAGCACATACAGCTAAAATTAACTTGTGAATAGAAGGATTTGTACACAAGCCTTCTAGACCAAAGTCTCACTCTAACCAATACACCAGTGGCAACCCCATCATGTAATCATAAGATCCAAATCCCATTACAACGGTGTAAAATGTTCTGCATTCTTTGACTTAGTTCACACACCAAGTACTCCCCATATACTGAAGACAGTTTACACATGAGTAAAGCTACCACAAGCCGATAAACTTAAAGGATTTCCACATAAAAATGACATAAACGGTTCGCGTCTGAGATGTTGAGAAACAGAACAATAGTAGACGGATGCCGAGGTCGGTCGTAACAGAGAGATGGTGAGGAGATAGTGTGATATCCTGTACCATTGTCAGCTGATGATGCCAATATCAGCTGATGATGCCAATATCAGCTGATGGGGCATCATCTGAGCCGCGTCTGTCACTCGGTCGAGACCGTCACAACCTTCGCACTTATTATGTCTTCAAATTAATAGCTTCACATCCCATCCAAGGCCGTTCTACTTTCCCAAGGATACTGATAGTCCAAACTGTCACTTATTAAAACTACATTATCGAAATTAGTCTTATGAATAAGATGTATGTGTCCTGAAAGGGCAAAAGGAAGGTAAGATGTGTTAGTTGGAGATTGGTTTACCTTCCTTTCGTTGTAGAGTTCTGCAGTATTACATCAAAGTTACATAGAAAATTTATGAAGCTGTGTCATTAAGCAAGGTTGGGTTTGGTTGTATTAAATTGCTATTTGCATTACCGGGGAATAATTACTTTCAATTTTTTTAACGATGTTTACAACTGTCGTTCTCAAATTTCATTAATCAGGTAACGTATAAAATTGTTGACCAATATTTCGCAAAACGAATGATTTTTTAAGAAATGTATTGATTACGATTGTCTGGTCATTTTCCTTTTCACTAGTTTGTTTACAGTATCTCACAGTGAAGGGACCATCTCCAAATTCAATTCTCTGGGAAAATATTAAATATCCCTTTAATTTTAAAAGAGCAAAGAGGAGGTGTATTCTATATATAATGAATGTAAGATAAATTAGTAAAAGTGTGATTACCGGTGTAGTTTTTTTTACTGACTAGCTGTTTCTTCGGGAAGAACCATTTCACTTGTACTAACTTATTTTTTTTATGAATGAAAAATCGTATAGTAAAACTTAAAACATACATTTATTACTAAACTATGTAATAAAATGTCAAATACGTTTACTATCTACTTGAGAAAAAATGTTTAATGAAATCAACCAAAAACTATCGTCGTCCACGTAAAAATATCAATTTAATAGGATCAAACAGGAAAATCCATTCATGAGTTATGGTTGAACAAAATTAATGACCTCATTAGAGATTGATTGCAAAGCTCTGTTGAGCGACAGAGTTTCAGCAAGTGGTTTCATTCTCTGAAGACTCAATTAATAACAGCTGTCCTCCGATGACAAACACTCAGTCTAGTTGACGCAGACTGAATGACCCAGTGACCTCAGCACCCAGACTTGCTTTCATCTACTGACACCAGCTGTAGTGTTGGAGGTTAGTAGCAACAGAGAGCCAGCTAGGTCTAGGTTAATGGACCAGTCACACCAGCTGAAGAACTGTAGGCTACATGTAGGATACATAAAAAATGCTAGGTTCATTTCCTAAACTTGTATTCACTGTAAGCAACTTAGGCCTTTGCGTGGAGCGTAGTGAGCAAAGCAGGTGTAGCCGGTAGAGTACAAGAATGAAATGAACTGATATATTTTAACCGGCAGCGGGACGCGAACCCAAGACCGTACTGTTTTGAGTTCACAGCCCGTTGCGCAACCAACTGAGACATCGACTCACTGGATTAGACCTCAACCACTAGGGATGTGGTAGGATATGGGGATCGCACACACAGTAAACCAGCTAGATATAGGCAAATAGTAAACATACTGCTGCACTAAAACAAGAGAAAGTAATTTAGTCAACATTAATGTACTCAAACGTAACCGCATCCAAACCCGCTTCGGACTTTACAATGGAAAGATAATTCTAATAATAATTCTACTTGCACTATTCAAAGTCAATGGTCCAGGCAAGACCCCACTAGTGGGGTCTTGGTCCAGGTGATGACCCACACATATTATATTAGGTGAAGCTGGTTGTATTATTAGGCTACCAATTGTATAACTATAGATGACATAGCTCCTAGTTTAAACTCCTAGTTTAGGCTCCTAGTTACTTAGACTCTACTAAATCCAAGAACAAAACTCCAATTTTCAAAATGTACAACCCCAGGGTATTACAAGGGAAAATGGACAATATTTAATATAATTGCATTGCTGCAAATGATTATACCACCTAAGTTCAAATTTTGTTTAGGGACCTCTAAAAGCTGAGCATCTTCAAGTTATAGTAGGTGCTTGGATATCACCGATTTTAGATAGGGCGTAAAAACCATAAATGGTTTAACACACCATTTACATAAATGGTAAATGGTGGCGTAAAAACAGCTAGGCGTATTTAACCCAAAAATGAGCAAAGGTTGTGTTTATATTGAATTAAGATGCTAAGTGCACTTTCGTTACTAACAAAAACAACTGTTTTTTAGCTAGTTTAATTATGAAACGCCAAAAAAATCCATGATAGCTGCTGTGGTTTGCCATTATAGTCCAATTAGATTAAGTAAAATTAAAATACACAATACAAATTTAAACTATATATAGTAACAACTAGTTATTTTCAGTTAGGGCAGTACAAATATGGATGGATTTGGTTATTACGTTGCAAATATCTTTTATGTTGTTTCATAATCGCAGTCAATATGGCTGAGGACTGAATGTTACAATGACACTTGTAACGCACAAGTCTTCCTCGGTGAAAGGACCTCTTGTGAAACATTTACTTGACTTAAGCTCCTCACGTGAAATATGTAGTGAACGGGCTGTAAAATATGTACAATGTTGAAGATTACACGGCCAAACTATTACATAGATAGTAAATGTTGAATCAGACGGTTCTGAAGATTTATTAACAGATTGCTTTCCAAATCATTTGATTGGCCTTGGACACTGAAGTAGCTAGAATGGACTGGTTGTAGCCAATGTCTCCTCAACGAGTTCACAACTGAACAGAGCTATAATGTCAAAATTCTATTTCCTCCTTCGTTAGGTTTACATTACACTATCACACTTGATGAGAAAATTAAATAACAGAAAATTATGTAACAGCAATTCCAGCTTGGTATGATTTAAATGCTAGAGTGAAAAAAGGAAGAGGGTTTTTAGCATCACACTTGTGGTGGGTTTGTGGCTCAAGCAAATAAGTAATCTTTCACTTTAAAGTTAGAGGTACAGGTACAGACTTAACGTTAATATTCAAAGTACTACATGGAAACAATCGTGGTCTTTTATTAGTATAACGGATTCACCTGTAATTCCTTTGTTATATTTGTTGTTGATAATTGATAACAGTAATTATAATTTCCATGTTATCGTGTGATATTGTAGAAGTAATCATAATCTATTCACGCAGGGCCTTCCAGTTTGAAAAAAAACTATTCATGAGTTTAAACAATTATAGCTTAACATCAGCAGCGTTGGGAAGTCTTAAAATCATAATTTTGTTAAATGTTTGTCAAATTTCACACAAATAAACGACCAATCAGTCCAAATAAATCTGATAACTGAAACACACACATTCACCATACTCATAAACACCTACAACCAAATATAAATCAACACACTTTAACCGGTCCAGTACGACGCAGGAATCTGTTGATAGATTTTCTCACATCCATCAATCATTATTTAATTGGCAACTCTATGAAAAAGAGTTACACACTTGGGCTTGTCTTTTAAGCTGCTAGGTGAATGCAGAATGGAGTGAGGTCATCTGTATAGCTTTGTTAATGACTAAGATGAACTGTTCTATTGGTCAGGACCATTTATTAAAAGCAGAATGATCAAGGACACCTAAGCACAATTGAAACTATATCTCTTAAGCAATAAAATAAAATAAAATGGGACGGGTGGCGTCATACTGTAATCCAGCTACTAGGAGGTTACGAATTGTGGATATTTATATGCATGCACTGTGGATGCGATACTCCCTGGTGTGGATTAACGTCCGCACGAGTGAGTACTACGACTATCCGCAGTACTATCCTGAAAGTTTGACCAATTCGTGTATACCAAGGCAAAAGGCAAAAATGTGGTTCGGATTCCACTATAAACTGTAGGTCCCTTGGTTGACATTAGCTGTATGGGCTATTAATTAACAGCTGTGTCTAAGGAATAAGTGGGCCTTAGTCACTCACAAGACTACAATATCGCCCCACTCCTACAATCATCTCTATTCATACTTGGCTTAAAATACCTACTTTGTATGGTCGCCATTTCATTGAAAAGTATTAAAAAATATTAAAGTATAATATTTTATACTGAATGATTAAAAGCTCTGATTAAATGTTCCCTAATTACAGAATTGTTTGCTCCTCTTTCAACAGGATGCAGACTGAGTGATGGCCGTGAGAAGGAGCGTGGTGCTCCTCTGGTCGTACGTCTTGTTGTGAAATACTTACGTGCGGGTCACAGGTCGTTTGTACGGCGACATTGCGCCAATTAATGGAACACCCTTTTAACAATAGTCCAGGAAAGTGGTTGGGTCATGGAAACGTTTCTCATAGGAACATGTACAAATGTGTTAAACAGACCCATTTACCCATTTACTGCTTGTTTTTACGCAATGGGGGTTTTTACGTTGTTTTAATGGGTCTAAACTCCGGTTTCTGCTATACAGTATAACATCAACATTGTTAGTTAGAAACATCAATTGGAGTCCCAATGGCAAATGTCAGTAGATCCATGATTTGATCACGCGTTAATGCCGAACCTACCTTCAGGGTTGCTAAGCGTGGAATTTAAACTTGGTTGGAAGATGGAGCAGTAGGCAATGCGATTTGTGGCTGGGTTGCTTGTGAACGAGAAAAGATGATATGGTATTTATGAAGGGATATGAAATCCTGGCCAGTACAATTTGGCAGAGAAAGGTCGTCAAAGATTTTGTTACAATCATCGTTAAACTTCAGTTTGCTACGCTTTGGTGTGGAGGTGCTAGCAGGAGTATAATGTCAAAAAATAATTTATTTGTCCAAATTCGTACATCGACTATGTCAGTAAATATATTAGAAAAATGCAATTTGACGAATCCTATTTGTCTTTAACAATTTATCTTAGAAGAATCTACTTTTGAAAAATTAACTGACAATACCACCACGGGTCATGCAGGTAGCAATTAAATGTAGGCTACGTCATTTTATAAAGGGTTATTTTTAGAATATCAGGACATAGCTCAATTGTCAAATGATTGGACATAGCTTTAAAACGCAAAATGACACTATAATATAGATGTTTTTTTAAGCAAATTGAATGCTGTTATGTGAAGATTGAGGCTGTTTAGCGGAAAATATGATAAAGTTTTATAATGAGCTGCATTTAAAGAGTCTTGAGTTAATTGAAATAGTGTGTTAAGCATCTGTATTTTATGTGTCATCAATAACAAGTAGTTAGTTTAGTCGCTACACTACGGTGTGTATAGATTTTTTGTTTGACTTAAAATTTAACATTAAGTACACTTTTAAGTAAGCGTATTGTTCTAAATTAAATCAATTTATAGTAAATGCAATTTATAATGATGCAGTATTTCTAAACGTGCATCAGCGCCACCTAAACATTCTGGCAGCCAAGGGATTTTTAAAGATTTACCTGAATTAAGTGAAACATATTTTTACTTAACTAATCAGTAAAATAAAGTCTTGGCTCTACTATCAATGTGTAATTATTTTATTCAGCAGATATGGCACACATAATCATCTTCAGCATTCTCCCTATTGCGAAGCACGGTCACAGCGTCTAGTAATTAATAAAATCTAACTGCACAGTCCACACAGTTATTTTCACTTTAACCTTAACAAAACATTAAGCAACACCTAATGTCAGACATTATGTCCCGGTGGGGAGTCTTTTGACTCATTACGAAGTAAAGTTACAAAATCGTCTGATATTTTGGGGGACCATCAGTCTGCACTTTCACCCACGCCGGGGCGACTGATAAGACAAAGGCGGCGTGACCTTGCCACTGATATGGTGGCGAGAGGGCTGACGTCATAGGCACATATATATCTACAGCCACCACTACTCCTACACCATTATAGTACACCACAGCAGACGACATGGCTAAGGTAAATACACCTAGTGTAGGGATAACATGTTGGGAGTTACTTGGGGTATTTTAGGGTGTGGATTATTTGTTTGGACAATAATTTGACATAATGTAAATTAAAAACTTTTTTTAATTATAAAAATAACTATTGTTGATTGTGTCAAAACTGAATAGGCTTTCTTCAGTAACTGAAACCGTTAGAAGTTTAACCTTAAAAAGCAATTTTTAATCTAAAATTTTATCAGTTTTTAGTCGGTTAGTTACTTTTATTTGTATTTGTTTTAGCCATAACAAAACGGATTTTTATGGATTTATTATTGTAATAAAAAGATTGGTTTTATATTAGGCAATGAAATAAAAAATGGGTAAATAGATTTTTGCATTTAAACATTTATAGTCTATTTAAACGTAAAGTAATATTTTTATTTGTTTCTTTGTTTTGATTAAATTGAAAAAAAGAAACTCCCCTATAAAAAATAGGTTTTTGGTTTTTAAATAGATAATACACAATTTATTTTATTCATGAAATATATATTTTCTCCAATGAAACAAAGATTCCTCAAAATATTAAGTATTTAAAATATTGCTTCCTCCGAAATAACAGTCTATATCAAGCTCATGGCCTATTAAATTGAAATTTGCGTTTTTAACACGCTTAATAACTTATTACAGCCAATAAGTGACAAGATAAAAGTTATGGCATTTTTCAAAAATTTGTACATAATTCATAACCTTTTATAGCATTGTAGTATTATAAGGACAAAATAAGATATATTGCATTTCAAATAAATAAAGAAACAACGTGCTCAATAATATGGCGAATAAAAACACGCTAGAGGTTATAAAACAAGAAAATATCTGTATCCCTTAAAACACTACTCTAAATACAGCAGAAACTTTAGAAAAGACTAATGCCAAAACAGCGTAAAAACAAAAACCGTTGTCTTTGAATTTATAAACTATAAAAGTCAGAAAACATCATATAAGCACCGATAAATAATCTTGATAAAAAGAAGTGGTAATATAAATACAAATAAGAAAAAAACTTAAAAATATAATTTCTAAGAACAAATACAGGCATGTAAATCCAGACTAGTATCAACTTTAAAATCATACTATGCATTCATTATACTGTATAAAACATCCATGGATCATCTTATCAGCTACCGAAATATTGAACAAAAACTTTAAACATTTGAACCCAAACAAAACAAAGGAAAATGCATTTATTACAGCTGTTTATAGTCACTAATAGAAAGACCTTGATAATACAGTATAAATTCTAAATGAAGTCCAAATTCAACCCGATATAAATTCTAAAAGAACACAACATTAATGACGACATTTTTCATAAATAAAGAAACTACCCATAACATGCCAATAAGGGCAGTCACTTTAAGTTATATTTAATAATAGTACAAAAAGAAATAAGAATCAAGCTAAATAAATAATAATGTTTTATTGTAATAATAATATAATTATAAATTTAATTACATTATGATTTATTGTAAAATTCTAACGTCTGATAGGAAATCTTCCCAACCGAAGGAGAAATAGTTCTTTATTTTCTAACTTTAATATTTTATAGCAAGTCTAGTATAAATGGAAATTAATCTTTAACTTTTTCTGCACAATAAAACTTTGTTTCAATATCTCAGTATGGAATAAAACTATATCCATTATATACATACCACTAAGTGCAGTTTTTATTCTAACTCGTTAGCAATGCTGGGGATGTCTAACAACTGCATTTGTAACTAAACTAACTAAGACACATTTTAGTTATTCAGGCCTCGTAACAACTAAGGACAAGGTTTTGGCCAAACAGGGTCAACGAAATAAACACAAACCTTGTTAACTAAATCTCTCTCACTTTATTATAATATATATTTAGTTGTACACCAACAAATATAATTAGTGAAAAAAAAAACTTTGTCTCGCTATTACATAAATGTTGTAACAAGTTCATTGAACAAATACAACTTCTTACCAGTTATTAATAACATTTTTTTTTTTTACAACTACTTAATGCTTTACAAAATAGTTTTTGAAACAAACTGCATTTAAATATCCAAGTATTTGAAACACTTAACGTTCACTATTATTCACTATTAGTTTTGACACAAAGTTTACATTTTAATGAAATATTTTATTGCTTTTAGAAACTAATAGTGAAAAAATCATTAAGTATACAAAAATTATGCTTGGATATTTTTTGGGATAAAATGTCACTTTATTGGTTATAGAGGTTTTTATTTAAAAAAATAACAAAATTATCAACATGTCGGTTGCAATCACACTAACAGTAGTTATTCAAAGCATGTAATAATCCTTCAGCTAAAATATTTACACAACCAATTATAATTTATCGTTACTAAATACTGAATGCATAAAGTTCTGGTCTGTGAAAATTCAACAGAGATTGGGTTATAAAACCGCATATTGAGTATAACTGTCTATCCTAGACACAGCTGATCTAAGTCGGCAACAAAAATATAAAAAGGCATCGCACTGACCCAGCACTCATGTCTCTCACATGTTTGGATTTAATAATGCCTATAAATATACATTTACTTAAATATAGAAACTAGAGTTTTGTTTATTAAAAACTAGCTTCTGTACCCGTGCTTTGCAACGGGAAGATGTACTATAGCGCTTAATGCTTGCAAACACTTGTTAAGTAGTTCGAATTAATAAACAAAAGCCACCAAATTTATACAAAAAAGTATGACCTACAGTGAATTGTTTTACTCTTAACATTAAAATGTATCAATAACATAATTATCATAACTTAATTGTAAAAAAAAGGTAAACAAAGGTTATGCATTTTCTCATGCTTCCATGGAGATCAATTATTATTAACTTTTCAAACCCTCACCTCAAAACGTTTGGACATCCTAGTGGCGTAGCCCGAGAGGAACTCAGGGAAGTGAATAGGCCTATGACATTCCTAGATATGTAGACTATCGGTGCTTTTCATTATCGCTCTATCGGTTTAGTATTTTAGTCGTGGCAGCCGCACAGACAAACAGACACCACCTCAATTTTACAATAGTATAGACAATTTAATGTCATACAAATTAAATTAATTGATAATAATGTCATAGTCAAAACTATTTAGAATAAAGTATAAACCATTTTATGGGGAATCAAGTAAATTTGCAGCAAGTCGAACTAAGATTCTCTTGTATATCTTTAATATATAACTCATTCGTTGTATTCCAAAACATTGCCAAACTTTCAAAATTGTCAAATTGTATAAACACCGCTTTAAGGAACACATTTAAAAACCATACGCAAGAATATTATAGAAAATATGTTTAATTAAAACACTAATTCAATTAACACAAAACATTAAATGTAGTAAACAACCTTACTAATTATAAAAAAATATACAGTATGTGTTCAATATCAAATGCACAAATAGCGATATAATATTTTGCTCTCTAGTAACCTTTAACTTTAAAAAAAAATTTAATATAAAATCTGAAAGTAATATTTATTAAAATGTTCATACTTTACCTATATGATTTATATTACTTTATAAAATATTTATTTTCTAATCGATAGGTTTCTAGTTTAGCTACCACATGTAAACTTAATTATCCTAAAATAATCTATCTACTTTTGCATTTTTTAGTAGATGTTTTTGTTTATTAATTAAAGGCACACTTAGTCACGAATATTTATAAATTAAAATTTAAATATGCCAGCACAATATAGTTGTATTTTTAACAGTGGACAATACATAATACCGTTATTTTTGTTGACTTGGATCACAAATTCGTGAAGATCCTTTGTTTGAAGGAATGTTTTTACACATTTATTACCGGTAATGTTTATGAATCTACTGTATACAGTATTACATTTTTTGTCTATTTTTTTTCTTCTGAATCTTCTAGCCAATTAATTATTCATAAGGAACTTATTTGGTAAAACTCTTATATTTATATTTGTATGAAGTTTTGTCTTATTTTTTGTTAATAATCTAGTAAATTAACAACTTCATTTGATTATTATGGTATAATAAATTTAACATTTGTTATTTGAAATAAAAAATAAAACTCTAAACATGTCACGGGTGAGTATATTTTTAAAAGCATGTAAACAAGATGTACACACTTGACTCAGTTAAACGTGATATCACATTTAACTTCACAACATGTATATTAAGGATTGTAACCCCTGAAACTCAAATATATTACATTTTAGTCCTTTATAATTGAATAGAAAGAAACTCCCCTTTCCTTTCTCGTATATCATGTGTTTTTATTTTATTTGAAGCGACATAATTTATACAAGTTTATTTCACTGATTGTTACACTATCTATTGCTCTGTCATACTCTTTTCTCAGTTTATTTTCACTTTTTTTATTATTATATTAAATTAATACACTCGTTAACATTTTCGTACATCATGAATAAACATCTCGTATAGACATAGATTGAAATCCAGTATTATTGGACATTAATCAAAAGTAAATTTAATGGAAGGCAAATAATATTAATTTAGGATATAAATAATAATTATTATAAAGTCTAAAAACCTATTTGGTCACCTAGGCAACTATGACAGTAAAATAATAGTTTAATAAGTACGTAAAACCCAGCTTCACCTTGCATTTTAAAACTCTGATATCTGATATAATTATTCAATCTCAACTTTAAGACCAGACCAAGCCAACGAACTTTGTGGGCGACACATTAATTTTACAATTTTAGAAATTATCGAACACTGAAATCCTTAGCATTTTTAACGCAAATTAAGGAAGAAACAATGCTTCTTTCGTTTAAGGTTTATTATATGAAAGTTCATGAAAGATGCTGGAATGCAATACTACTTGTTTAGTAATGAATTATGGGAAAGGTTTGTTAAAAAGGCCGAAGTATAAAAAAAGATCATTCGTCTATACGAATGATATTTTTTATACTTCAGGTTTTTTGGCCAAAACCTGCAAAATAAAATTTATTGGTAACTGTTAGGGGTTTTGTAAGAGATTGAAAAAACCGTTAATGCTTTGGTGATTGGAAAAGAACCATCGTAAGACAACTAGGCTTACCCAAGTAAAAAATATGGACATGTTTTGTTATCGAAACCTGTAAAATAAGAGGTTTTGTTGATTGATAGAGTTTTGTATGACATTGAAACTATAATTGCTTGGAAATTAATTAGTATTCACATTAATAATAGGAGATTGCAACAACAGATGAATTATAAATTGTTCTTGAGATCTAAGCTTCAATATAAGTTAATGATACAAAATTGATGCTTGAAACAGACTGGGTTTTGTAAATACTAATCTCAGTTCGTTTACAGTTATTCCTGGTGCTGTCGGCCTCCGTGCTGATGGTCCTAGCGGAGCCTCCTGTAGGTTATCCTTCAGGCGGTCCACCAGCAGGCTCCCCCACCCTGTCTCTACCGGGACAGTATGGAACTCCAGGAGGCTTTGGATCGGGCGGAGGTGGATTTGGATCTCCCTCTAGCAGCTACGGAGCCCCCGGCGGTGGCTTTGGATCTCCCTCTAGCAGCTACGGAGCCCCCGGTGGTGGATTTGGATCTCCCTCTAGCAGCTACGGAGCCCCTGGAGGTGGCTTTGGATCTCCCTCAAGTCAGTACGGAGCCCCTGGTGGCTCCGGATCTGGATCACCATCCAGCTCCTACGGAGCACCTGGGTTTGGTGGCAACGGTGGTTTTGGAGGAGGCAATGGTGGCTATGGAGGTAGCGGAAACGGCTTCGGTGGAAGTGATTCCAACAAATACGCTCCGTCTGCAGCTAAAGTGAGTTTCCGTCTAGGAAATTCTAAGAAGAAAGGAAATGGATTCGGTGGTGGAAATGGATTTGGAAACGGAAATGGATACGGAAGCGGTGGGCCATCAAGCTCTTATGGTGCCCCAGGTGGAAGTGGATTTGGATCTCCTTCAAGCTCTTACGGTGCTCCGGGTGGAAGTGGATTCGGATCTCCTTCTAGCTCTTACGGTGCCCCAGGTGGAAGTGGATTTGGATCTCCTTCAAGCTCTTACGGTGCCCCAGGTGGAAGTGGTTTTGGATCTCCTTCAAGCTCTTATGGTGCCCCAGGTGGAAGTGGATTCGGATCTACTTCTAGCTCTTATGGTACTCCCAGTGGAAATGGATTTGGATCTCCTTCAAGCTCTTACGGTGCTCCGGGTGGAAGTGGATTTGGATCTCCTTCAAGCTCTTACGGTGCCCCAGGTGGAAGTGGATTCGGATCTCCTTCTAGCTCTTATGGTGCCCCTAGTGGAAGTGGATTTGGATCTCCTTCTAGCTCTTATGGTGCCCCAGGTGGAAGTGGATTTGGATCTCCTTCTAGCTCTTATGGTGCCCCTGGTGGAAGTGGATTTGGATCTCCGTCAAGCTCCTATGGGGCTCCTGGTGGTGGATTTGGATCCCCTTCCAGCGAGTATGGTGCTCCCGGGGGTGGGTTTGGAGGAAGCTCTCCTACGAACACCTACGGAAGTCCCAGTCAGTTCGGATCTGGTGCTCCCTCAAGTCAATACGGGACCCCAGGTACTGCCATTGGCTCTAACGGAGGATACGTGTATTAAACCACCTCAAAACATGCCTTTTAAACACTCTCTCAGCAATTTGCTAAATAATTTGTCTCACATATTGTGATATTATTTATTTGTACATATAAGTTAGCATGTGCTCATTTAGAGGTAGGTAGCATGTTCTGATGCCTTTTGTATTGATGTTTTAACTATTAAATGAATTCGAAATATATGCCACTATTGTTCTGTTATTACCTCGTTAACTTGGATGACTAACAGTTATGTTACAGATTTTGAATTTTAATACAGTACCTAAATGAAATAGTTTTCCTATTGGTAGTTAATTGGTTTTAAAAGTATTGCCATAACAATAAAAAAAGAAATGTTTAAAATGTGAAGGTGTTACAGAAAATGGTAAAATAATACAACTGTACGTATTATATTTTCTTTAGGAAAGGTTAAACAGTACAAACTACTATACAAATTATTGTATATAATGTTATAAATGTTATGTAGCATAAGTAGTAGGTATTTTGGAGTTAAAATGTGTACTCACATTAAAACAAAATACTCTTACATGGAATAACAGTGATGAAGATAAATGTTATCTACAAACCATCAGGAAGAGCATTTTAACAATAACGGAAAGTGTATTTGAAAACAGTCTACCAACTCCTCCATTCAATAATATGCATATTGTTGTATTATTAACCTCTTACAAGCTTAAAAAACTGCTATGAAATATACAACTGTTGTGTCTCCAAAATGTACAAATTTTACTCTCGATTATAATACATATAAAATATATATATCAGATCATAAAAGCACAATTTAAAATGCATATCGAATTGACCTAACAATTTGATGAAAGAAGTATGTAGGGTGGTCACGTGATTTTGTTTACAACATGATTTTCCCGTTTAAAACTACCAGAGTGATACTTTGAATGCGTGTAAACTAGCTGTTCTGAATCATATTTAGTTTTAATCAACTACTTGATTTCCGTACGTAGAACGGGCCAACAGCAAGTTTATTTTTTAAGCTATTTCTTACACTATTGTTTCCGATTGACATAATTCTCAAACCTAAATAATTTTTTATTAGTAAAATTGAAAAATTAAAACACCAATATAAAACACAAAATTGCAATATTGTTAAACAGACTTATTCCACTATAACTAATTAATAATAATTAATAATAATTAATATTAATTAATAATTAATTATATATAATTTTCAACGGGTAGACTTTTGACAAAATTACCAAAACGACATAGCATAAGATAAAGATAGGGATAATTATACTGAAGACATTTTGGTGATAAAATTTGCAATTATGTTCGTGTGTTGCGAAGATAACGCAGTACAGCATAACGTAAGAAGTGCTGAAGTAGTTCAGTCAGCCTGCTAGAGATCGCAGCACCCACCATGTCTTTTACGATTGTTTGGAATGTTAAAAATATAAAAGCTTTAACATTAACGTAAATATATAAAATCTTAACCAATAGTACGTCAACCAATTTGGGTCTTATCGGTTGAAATTTAAAATTGAGGTGCACCTAATGAATTAAATAATGTATATGTCAACTTATATTTGACAACGAAATCGGAATTCCAAATTCGCAATTTGACTACTCGTTGAAGTACACTAATTAAATGATTGGAAAACTTTAAATGAAGATTTTAAATTCCATTGTAGTATTACTTTCAAGTTGAGAGCACTCACATTTAAATCATATCTCAATAGATCACCATGTGCTGCTGCTTGTTTTATTTGGGCTATATGTAGTGTTGTATATAAACACCCACTTCTGCAAAGAAAGTAATCAAAATTCACATTCATATAGACGACCGAAATCCCTGTAGACTTATGTTTACTCATCCTGAGATATTGAAAACTAAAACAACTTTTATATTGTTTTCTCATTCTCCTAAAGCACAATAAGACGCCCCTTTACGAAGCATGTAACTCTCTTCCATGAATATTAGAATAGGAACTGTATGTATTATTTTTTAACTGTCCACATGTTAATATAGGATTCGGCACAGTTACGTCGTTTGTTTATGTTTATGATCAATACCACTTCTCTTCTAATAACCATACCCTCTTCCCACCATGGTGACGAACATATCAACACTAAATTTAAGAATATCTGCGAATACACATCTTCTACTTTAAAGCACACATTGAACAGTGATTTTAGCTTTATAATCAAGCGGTTAGCTGATCATGCTGCACGAACCTGCAAAGTTTGTTTCTTTCATTATTAATCATAACCTTTACGAACTACTCACTCCAAATGTCAAGATTTGTTTTGATTGGGGATATAAAAAACATACTTTAATCTTGACAATGTTCATCCATTATGCTACTTGAAGGCAATAATAAAAAAATAATACCAATAACAATACGGTTGATCGTAACTGAGAGTTTAAACTTTCTTTATTAGGGCTCTTGGTACTTAAACCGATACATATACTTAACCTCATCCACTAGTTTTTATTTTCAAATATTATTTTTGTAATAAAATCAAACTTGTTACAATCACAGTCCAATGTACAAATTGAAGTATCAATATAGATCATCTTCGTTTATATATTTATGGATTAGGTGTGTAAATACATGTATTGAACTAGATAATAAAGTTTTACTCTCAGATAAAAAAGTTGAATTTTGTTGTATAGGTACGTATTTGAAGTAAAGTACACTACAAGAAGACTCCACAAACAATAGTAAAACTATGTCACTGATCTCTGTCTTAAAATGTCTCGTTACTATAACTACTTAAGTATATGGAGTATATGGAAGTATATGGCCCATGTATTACCGATGTGGCGAATGGCGAGTAAAACTACGAACAAGAATGTCAGTACACAAATACAATTCACAATGGTTGAACTGAATGAGGCAAATTGCAGCAAACGAGATAACAAAGGAATAGTGTTCAAATAAGCGTTAATAAAGGCATCATCAAGTATAGTAAGTATGTAGTGCATTAATATTAATCAAGGTACTAACAAGCCAATTATTGCAGAAAAGTCTCTGAGAATAGTCTCTAGTACAATATTAAGAGTTCATTGAAACGTCTGACTTGATTAAACGGTGTATTATATTTTAATAAAATGTCTTTCAAATCTTACTGTAACTTAAAATATTTATCTTTAAATACATACATAGGAAATAAATAAAATTATTTTCCAGATGCAGTAAAGAGATGTACAAAATCTCCGATCATTATTTCACGTGAATTTTCTTACTTAAAACCACTTTGATAACAAAACTGTTCACAAACAAGTAAAAAGAAAAAAAATAATTGCAATTTTCATACAACCGTTAAACAGTCTTCGACTAAAAATAATTTGAATTCACAATTCATTACATAATTAATATTTTTAGGTTGAAAGCTACGAATACAAATAACCCTATATGGGTGATTCGCTAGTAGCAAATTTTCTGAGGATATGCAAGAAGGATATTTAAAGAAGTGATAAAAATATCATAATTTCATAAATGTGCATTATTTTGCTTCCTGTTCATATACTGCTAGAGGTCTAATGGGAATAGATATTGAGATAAACCAACACCTACCGAACACATTGATTGACATGAACAATATTTTTTTAAACTTTCTCCCAGCATTTATATATTGATAGGCAATAATGTTTCCTTAAATCCTTTTTTCTCAGCTCGTGTGCATCGGTGGGAAAATATACGCATACTGTTAGAAAAATATTTTCCTGTAGGTGTGCAGAATACCTTTATAAATTAAATAGGCTAAAAAATCGTCAAAAAATCAATATAAAATAAGTCAAGCCTTATGGGGTTGCCATGCTGGTTACGAAATAACAACGAAATATAAACAGAAAATCAAAACAAATAAAATAAATTTCCAATCACACGTTTTATTTACAGCGTGGGGGAAAAACAGAGAAGTTTGTACTTTATATGTTATTGGTCGAGTCTTCGACCACTGGACGACCTCTAGTTCACATTATTTGAATCCTGTGATATACGAACGCCCACTCACGTTTGTATAAATGGGTATGGCCAAAGAAAACTATAAGCAAAGTATGATGTAGGACTAATGTTAACATTTATGGCCGATTTAAAATTATGATTTATACATAACCTCGACTGTTTTCCAGTTAATATAGAATTCCCTAGAAGTAATACAGTGTTTTCCATCGTATTCCAACTGATCAATTACGCTCTCCTGAGATTACTGTCCATTCTGGGATGAACAAAACAATTAATTACTTGTAGATGTTGCTGGAGGATAACATTGATTTTTGGCTGGTTTCAAATGAGTAAATATCCTTTATGAATGACACAAATACATTAAGCATCGTGTTAGTACATAAACGAATATCTTTTCCAATTGAAATTTATGTTCAAGCCTCTAATAGTTTTTTTATAGAAATAAAAATATCCTAAGATGCGTCTATTAATAGCCTTTACACATACCAAAATTCACTACTGTATGCCCACTTGTTAAAAAGTTATTATTATTTTTTCTCAAAAAACAAGAATTTTTTGTTTGTTTTCAAACAGAATAATTTCCATAATGAAAATTTTTTGAACATAGAATGTTCAAATTGGTATTAAATTAATCCTAAAAATGTAGGCTATTTGTATAATACAGCAATGTATTACACCTTAATAGTTTAAGGACAGTAGACAATAATTATGTTTATTTGGCGTATCCTTAAACTTTTGACAAAAACTATAAATGATTTCTTACCAACCATAATTGCACTTAGATTGAGTTTTGTTTGTCAGTGTTGATGCATAGTCCTATATTAATGTCAAGTATAAAAATCAAATAAAACTAAATTTATTTATTTGTAACAGCTGCAAACACCTTGTTCATTTTAATATCTTTCTATAAAAACATTTAAGACCTCAGACCATGTTTTGTATAATTACTTTAGGCAAAAGGAAAAATTATAATATACAATAATAATAAAAATAAATGCTTGCAGCAGTTTGATACGATGTAGCCTTTAGAAAACGTGGTTATAATGAAATAAAACACATTTATATACATTTAAAAATAATGCAAAAAGTTATATTTGAGCAAATTAGTACAAAACAAATTGTATACAATATGTACACAGGCTAACAAATACATATATGTTAATAAATACTGACTCTGGTAACATAGTTAACAACAAAATACTGAAAATGCCTATTACCTAGGCTGGAGGAAAAACTTGGCAGGGTTATGGCACTTTTAGTGGCTTTTAATATTTTTGAAGCTCTCAGAACAGTGTTGTGCTTACAAAGCGATAGTTTTTCAGGAAGCTTTTATGGGCTCTATGAGTTTAATTTTGCTTAGATACATTGGACGTTGGATTGATTAGATACAAATAAAAATATGGTTGTTTTACAGATTTTGGCCCCAAACTACATGGAAATGATTACTATTTACATATTATGCATTTGAAAAGCCACCTATATAACTTGGCACAAAGATATGATTGAAACATGTTAAACGTAAGTGCTTTATTGGCCTCCATCACTCCCACAAGCGTAAGCTCATATTTACATGGCTACACATAGATAATACTTTACACATACATCATCATGACAAACAATGGGTTTTAACAACAATGGTAACTAAAGTTTTCAGAAGTGTTAGTTTCTAGTATCTATAACCTTGCCCCTGTCCAGATCCTTGGTACCCACCGCTCTGGTTTCCTGAAATAGTTTTCTGTCCTTAAGACGATTTTCCGTTGCCTCCGTTTTTCTTTTGTGAATACCCTCCACCGTTCTGAACTCCGTTAGCTCTGCTACCCTGATATCCACCTTGACTTCCTCCTTGATATCCTCCCTGGCTGCCTCCCTGATATCCTCCTTGGCTGCTTCCTCCCTGATATCCACCTCGACTTCCTCCCTGATATCCTCCTTGGCTGCTTCCTCCCTGATATCCACCTTGACTTCCTCCTTGATATCCTCCTTGGCTACTTCCCTGATATCCTGTTTGACTGCCTCCCTGATACCCTCCTTGGCTGCTTCCCTGATATCCTGATTGACTGCCTCCCTGATACCCTCCTTGGCTACTTCCCTGATATCCTGTTTGACTGCCTCCCTGATACCCTCCTTGGCTGCTTCCTTGATATCCTCCTTGGCTGCCACCCTGATATCCTCCTTGGCTGCCTCCTTGATATCCTCCTTGATTTCCACCCTGATATCCTCCTTGGCTGCCTCCCTGATATCCTCCTTGACTTCCTTGATATCCTCCTTGATTTCCTCCCTGGTATCCGCCTGTTGCCTCTTCATATGTAATCGTAGGCCGATATCCCTCCTCATCTGCCTCGTACTCGACTACCTGGGTGCGGCCGTCCGGCAGCAGTACTCTGTACGAGCCCCTAGCAAACATGTCTCTCCTAGACTCCTGATGACCGAACATGACGGCGTACTCCGGGGCGTTCACCTCATAGGAGAAGTCATAGTTGGCTGGTTCCTATGGGGCAACAGAGGAGGTGAAAACATTTTAACATATTGTTTACTTAGTTGTATACGTAATTATTATAAAATTTGATTTTTTTACTATAAAAATTATTAACGATTCAGATTGGGAAGCTTGAAGGTTGTTTTACTCCGAAATGAATGAAAGTGTGGGATGAGTGAGTTTTGTGACGTAGCTGACTAATAGCAGCTCTTTATTAACTTGTCATACATTTAATAATTAAGTATTGCTGGTTTTTTATATATACAAATAGGATTAACTAATAAATTAACAGATCAACTTGGATTTTATTTTATACAATGAAAAATAAAACCCAATCAAAAGAGAAAGTAACATATAAGACAAATTCTTACACATTAAGACAAATTATCGGTCTATAACATTCTCTTTCCTGTAGATGCACATTTTAAATTGAGTATTTTATTGAAGAATCAAACATGATCTCTAAAATTGATGGAAATCCCAAACATGAGAGGAAAACATGTTCACCTGAATATAAATACCTAATCGGGTTACCTTACCTACATAACGTAAATAAAATAGTATGCCAATTTCCATAAATTGTATTCAACTCGCACACACCGAGCCTAGACCCATTCTTCGCCCAGTGTAGCCTCGAGCTCTAGGTTTACACAGTCCGTTGTGCAGATTGCAAGACGAGACCACAGGTAATTGATACGGAGGAAATTGCGTTGCCTAAAACTCAGAAACCAGTTTGGCTTCTGATTGGTCGGAATAACGAACGCTCGCGATTGCGATTACCATACGATGGTGGAAGCGCCAGAGGGAAGGCAGATGTAGATCACGCAACAAAGAAAAGCGTTGCAATTTAAAATTCGCATTCAAGTGTCTGCTATAAAGTGTTATCAGTTCTGTTAACACTCTTGTTATGTACTTGCTTTGCTGGCCAAGTTTTACCCACAGGCCAGTGGCCTATGAGGCAAATTACGAGGTTAAAAGAGTCTGCCAACCCAATAAAAGATTTACCGGGGGAAAATGTGGTAATCTCTCAAGTTTTGAACAAATTGATCGTGGAATTTTTCCATATACATGACGTAGCTTTTTTATTTTTGAAATACGCATCGTAACATTATTTTACCACTTTTCTTTTACTGTCTGTTTGACCAAGTGGATGATGAAAGTGCTCTAATGATCCACAACGAGATGTGGATCCTATCTAGTTTCGCGGTCACACAAGTGAACGTCCGTTTCTGATTGGCCAATATATTTTTAAGTACGATGCAATCCCGGCGTTGAGGCGATATGGAGTGAAAGCAGTTCTCGATATAATTCACGGAGCTCATTTCGACAAGTTAATTAGGTTTGGAATAAGCGAGCGCTAGGATGAGCTGCTTACGTCATCGGAGTCCACATAAACACTCACACACCTACACACACACACGTATTGGACGTAACCGTTTAACCCAGGTTGCTTATTATAGCTAATTTCCACCATTCGTTGCGTACATTCCAGATTATGAAGGTGCTCTATTTCGACACGTATTAAATAGTAGTTGCGATAAAGTTTGTATGAAAAGCAAATTTGATTGTATGTATGGTGTTGTGAGGGTTTAGTTTGAAGTGAGAACTTGGGAGTATGCAAAGATTCGGGTAGCATTTGACAAATTTGAAAATATATTACTCAGGAAAATTTTTGTCGAACAAAAAAATTGAAAGGAGAAAGACACTCAATCGGAATATAAGGGATATGATTCATACCATTCGTGGTCGCTGAGATAAAAAAAACAAAAAAACAAAAACAGACTTCTGAGATGGACTGGTCGTTCAAAAGAGAGTAAACTATGTCTAATCTATGTTAAGACGAATATTAAATTACATTCTGGATGCCAGAAGAATATAAACTAAAAGTCATGTAATGTTTGAATGTATCTGGAGAATACGCAGATGAGCGAAGAAGTAGAGGCAATTCATTAATTATTTGTTCTCCTTCATAATCATATTCCTAAAACTATACATATTTATCCAACCATCCTTAACTTTGGTTATATATTAGGATGTTGTGAGCTTGCATCGATTTGTTATTTGTTTGGAAAAAATTAAAAGATCAAGCTTGTCAAATAAAACGAATTGCATTCGAAAGAAAAAGTCACTTGTTTGATTTGAGTTAGTTAACAACATTATTAGGTAAAATAATTTGATGATAATCATATTTATTCAGGCTACATTTTGGTATGTTTATAAAAAAACAAACACTAAAATACACAAAAATGAAAATGTGAGAAAATAAAAAAATTAACCCAAAAAAAATATAAAACAAAATTATATAAACCGAGGACAAGATAGAGTATAGTTTTCACTTAGGATATCAAGGATCATATTACATAGTCTATTTCATGCGGTTTTATCATTTAAACTCTGCCGCCAATGAGGAAAACTCAATTTGTCATCTTAATGACAGGATGCGACTACATTTCTCATCCCAAGTTCCCACATTACCAGATGATGACAACAATTTGTCCGCCCCCGGCAGTCAGTCAATAAAGGCACTGCCCCGAGCAATCGTCAAATAACCCTTCTGATTGCTCATCTTCTACTCATAACCTTGCCTTTTAACCTTGGAATAGTTATGAAACGGATTCTAGATTGGATCACATCATTCCAGTGGGATGTAGAAGAAAACAGTTCTCACGGTAATGGATTAAAGTAATTTATAGTATGAGGTATAGTGAATGGAGTTCCTTGAAAGGGAAGATTTTGGTTTGGATACGTGTAGTGGTTTCCAGGAAACGGCACTAAAAGTTTGGTGACCGGAGGGATTTGAACCAGGCCACAAAGACTCTAGACATTAATCAGCACCCTCTTGGTGAATTAAGTTCACGATAGACCTACCTCGTAAACGAGACTATAACATTTCATCATGTAAATAAAAATATAAAATTCATCATGTATTCCTTCCAGACTTTTTCTCCAAAAAGGTTCACACAATGGGATAACATTTTTTATATTAATTATTTTAAGAATGTTTTGCATGGATTATAAATATTTTTACGATAAAAACAGTATAAATACAAACCAAATAAATCATAATAGATTAAATATTTTTCAAACTAATTGTTGTAAGTTGGCCATAAAAGAGGAATTTTCACAAAAAGGCTCATTGAAAGAACAATTATACTAAACGCAGTTAGGCGTTACACTCTATGTAAAACAAAGCAATGGAAAATAAAATTTGAAAAACATCAAATAATTATTTCTTGAATAGCTCTAAATGTCCTCACGTACATTGATATAGCATGTAGGTTGCCACTATCACGGTTTTGCAGTTTCCTGGTCCGAGACGCGCGGATACTCTAGAATTACTCACTCCCAGCTGTAATTATTTCCATAATTCCATCCCTAGTGTTTCGCAGTTCTACATTCACAAAATGGTTTCCGCCCATACGTTGCAAACTCCATTTGCAAATTACTTTTCTTCATGTAAGCCTTGTTGCAATCCTAAATTGCACATTTTTAACGTAACACGTTTCTCACTTGAACAAATGCGTAAATATTTATTGTTTAACAAATTGTTAAGATATAAAAGACTTAAGGGTTTGAGATATTTATTTGCAAAAAAATTATTTTGATCAGTAAATTTTTATAATGCCATTAAATAGTCTATTAAAGCTAGACAAAGTAATTCACCTATGTTTGTTCTAATTGTTTTGCCCTAATTGCTGTTACAATATTTTGTTTGTGTTGTAGGAGAGAACTTTTATTTAGTCTAATTGAACATCGTAAAATTCCCCACTGCAGGATATTGATTTAAGTTAGTACAAAGTATTAAATAACCTATATTCTCTGAGGTCAGATTGAACATGCAGTGTTACCTTTTACTGAGTATTGAACTATAGATGTATTAGTAGTGACAGTATCTTATTAAAATATTCCGAAACTAGATGTTTCAAATTGAAAATTTGTGATAATTCGTACAATTCAACTTACAAATAACTTGTATTGTATAAGGAGCTTGAGTTAGTACAAACTACCTTATTAGTGGTTGGTTTTCCATAGCAATTTTAATATTTGAAGATTTTGTAATAAAATAACTTGTTAAACATATATTGTTCAATAAAAACAAAGTTTTCTTAAAGGAAACATGGCGTACTTTTAAATTACAAAAATATATCACACATTTAACCGCCACTCTGTACTTTTAATAGGAAAACAAACATTATTTAGTAAATATAGTTTATACTGTATATAAAAAATAAAACGTTGTATACTTATCTGTATTTGTATATGAAACGTACATATAAAAACCATTACACATTTAGAGCTTTGCGCAACAAAAATAGATCTGAGACACGAAAAGTGAATTTTCCGAAAAAGGAATTGAATGCACAGCCTCATATTAGACTGCAAATCGGTATAACCAGTTCAAGGATCTTTGGAAGAGTCGATCATACCACATTAGTGAGATTACGTTCAAACCGCAGCCTCTGGCGCTGAATGTCTGTGGAGAAACAAGTCATCCTTCTATTTTTACTTTGATTTCACAGATAAAACGTGGCCAGGATTTTGGCGCAAATGTGTTGTAAATAATTGTTATATTAGTGTGATTTTTTGGTTAAGGAAGTTGTGGTGTCTGGTAACCTTGTGATATGATTTTTTTTATTATGTTGTTAATAACCACAAAGTTTACAATTGATACTAAAAGGGCACAACTCAAAATCCAGGACCGAAAAACGTGTTTATGTGTATCTTGGGTAATTTGAAGAGCTTTTTAAGGGAACCCGAACAATTAAAGCCTGTTCTTGTTACCATCTCATTGAGTGGTCATCAAATTATTGGTAAGGGGGAATTTCTCAAGGGTCCCTGAGGGGGGAATACGGGTGGTTTTCCTAAAGGAACCCTCTACCTTACAGACTTTCAAAGTTGTTTAGTGTATTTTCCTAAGATGGGCCTTACATACTTTCAAAGTTGAAAGTTTTACGCGTTAGGTAGTTTATTCCATCTAACAACTTTTAAATTTTTCCTAGATTATAAGTCAAATGTATAAAAAGTTCCTTACAGCATAGGGATCCTCCGTCGTATATTGGGAACCTCCTCCATTGCCGTATTGACTGGCTCCACCGGAGTAGGAAGATCCTGAACTACCCTGATAATTTCCTGATCCTGATCCTGTAGACCCTTGGTATTGTGATCCTCCTTGGTAGTCGTTGCCTCCTGATATATTAAAAAGTATTAGTAAAATTTTTTCACAGAATTTAAATAAATTACAGACTTGTATGTGTTATTAAGTAATAACTATTTCTATTTCTCAAACGTATATAGTTATTGAGTTGTTCTTAGTGATGTGATATGCAGTTTGATTAATATTTGTTCCTGGAATATTTTTACCATAGATTGTTTAGATTACTGGATAGCTTTTGTATAAATAAATTTTATTATTTGCTACTGCTATCTTAACAAAAATGATATTACAAAATAATTAATAACTAAATGGAAAAACACTATGTAGTGTTTGAGAGATATTTGTTTATATTTATTATTTAATAATTAAATACTGTTAATTATAATCTGAAATGGGTTTTGGAATTACTCACATAAAAAATAAATACACTGGTAAACTAGTAATACCAATACTCTCATTGTAAAATTAATAGTTTTTACAAAAATCTTAATCTTTATTATAACACCTGTATTCAGTTTATTTATGAATTAAATGTTATTTGTATCTAAAACATAATTTAATTATTCATGGTTATTTAAATAAATATTTCGTGTGTTGCTAACACAGTTGTTAGTGTCTTGAACTTCTATGCGTGGATTCGGACCGCATTCCCTTGAAGAATTCCCTCACAAAATGTCCACTGGTATTGACAAAAAAATAAAGTTTTTCAGAATATATGACTGATCAAATATAATTTAAAAAACTTACCACTCTGGTACTGGGGCTGCGCTGTAGCTACAGCGGAGGGTGGGAGGTAGCCCTTGCCTTGGGAGCCCTTCGACACTGAGAACCTCATAGGAAGGGCGCTGCCCTGAACCACGGAGTTACGGTTGGCGCCACCATAACTACCGGAGCCACCTGAGCCACCATAACTACCGGAGCCACCGGGGGCGCCGTATCCTTGGGGTGTCGCTAGGCATGCTGCCGCTAAGCAGCACGAAACTGCTATCTGGAAATAAAAAATAATAATTTTAGTATTTATTTCTTGAAAAAAAAAAAAATGGTTTTCTATCATCATAATAACTTATTCGATGTATTTGTAACTAAGGGCTGATTTAAGCTGTATACGTAGTCACTGAAGGGAAATGCCAACGTCTAAGATGGACTGGACAATACATGAAGATATGGCATTAAAGTAAACTCTAGATGATGGAGGGCCCCCTGAAGAATCAATGAGATGTGTAATCTTTTAGCCAATGACTTGAGCACGTTGATAGTTCATGAAGAAGACGCCAAGGATAATGGGAAAAGAGGCAGTTGTGAGTTCAGGTACCTCCTTGGGTGTAAATGTCCATAGGATTAGGAATTGTAGGGCTAGTTTTGGTCAGATTTAGTTTAAACAGAATAAAAAATATTTAAAACATTAAATTAATATTTTACATTGAAGTCCATGTGAAGTAGAAGTTTTGCCCAATTCTATGGAAAGGTGTAAGACAAATTTCAAGATGCTCTGTACTAGGGATGGTTGAAAAAAGTTTTTTTATTTTACTTCTTATCCAACTATAGGTGTAAAAAATATGAATCGTATCTTAACATCAGTCAACAAGCCCCCTTGAGTATAATGAGCTATTGTAACTGATATCTTTTTTTTTAAATAACTTTTTACATAGTAAAATAAACATAAACATTTGTAAAATAGGCTATATATTTTCTGGACTAAACATATAAATTATTTATGCAAAAATATGAGTAGAATACCGATAATTTGCATTGAATACTCCTACATACATAAGGTAAATAACATGTGTTTAAATATTTTGAATTGAGAATAAGATAACAAATATTATCGTAGAAAACACTTTCCCCATTTTATGACAATATAGTATGGATATAGAGGATGAATTTAATTTAAATATAGTTATGATTAAAATAATAATCATTTCAAATCCATACAAACTGTAAACAAATGAATGTAAATTAAAACGTTTGTTAAATAGGTACTACACATAAAATAGGCAAGTAAGCAAATATTGATGTTGTGTATTATTTTAATAACAATATATGTGTGAAATTTATTGACAATCTTGTTTTATCTATTTTTTAAAATTTATTTTAAATTTAACAGTAGACGAAAAATATCAAAAATAACATACACAACGGTAACTAAATTATTAAATTATTCTCCCATACTCAAATCCAAAATCTATTTTGAAGGAAGGAAGATGAGATTAGCATACAGGCGTTGAAATGCCTTGTATCCACTATAATATATTCAAAATGTTAAAACCCAGAAAAATTCTTAATAAACAACCCCATAAATATTGGTAAATAAAACAATATACCTTTTCTCTTAATTCACTACCACTAGCTTTTAGAGCAATAGATAAAAATAAGAATATTTTATTTTCTCAAAAAATAAAACAATATTTTCAATAGTCATTGACAGGGTATTCCTGTACATAAAAAAAGAAAATTTATTAGCAATAGAAGTGGTAGTAAATTAAACTTTGGTTAGGTTAGGTTAGTATAGAGTTAGAAAAACCTAACCTAACCACATTCTACTAGTGATAGTGAATCAACGGAAAAGGTCCAAAACAATATTTACAAAAAAAAAAATAAAATGTTATAGAATAATTAGAAAAACATACTTTGCCAAACAAATAATTCGAAAGACCTTTTTTGTGTTTAACAACTAGTTATGAATGACAATATTTCAATAATTTGTTGACAGTTGACACGAGCTAGTCACTAGTCAAGTGTTTTGTATACTCACATGTATCAACATCTAGGAGCGGATGCGCGGGCAGAATGAAGCCTTTCCCGCCAGGGCGCGCTATATACGATCCGCCGGACCTGCTACAGTAATTGATGTCCCTCCGTACTGACCTACATCAATATACAACCCATGGGTGTAGCTGACGATCCGATGCTTAGGAATGTAATGTGGGCATTTTGTTGGAAGTACTAGATCTACTTACTAACTTACATCAATATACAACCCATGGGTGTAGCTGACGATGCGATGCTTAGGAATGTTATGTGGGCATTTTGTAGATCTACTTACTAACTTACATCAATATACAACCCATGGGTGTAGCTGACGATCCGATGCTTAGGAATGTTATGTGGCATTTTGTTGAAAAGTACTAGATCTACTTACTAACTTATATCAATATACAACCCATGGGTGTAGCTGACGATCCGATGCTTAGGAATGTAATGTGGGCATTTTGTTGAAAAGTACTAGATCTACTTACTAACTTACATCAATATACAATCCGTTAGTGTGTTTTTAGATAGGTAGTGTGATTTCGATGCAGTTCTATGTATAGTGTGATTTTCAGTGAATTTTTAAGCATTGGCTACGTTTGGGTTCTTATCTTATTATGTTATTTAAGCTTTGGCTGCGTTTTGGTATTTATCTTATTATGTCTATTTTAAGGTTTGGATGCGTTTGGGTAATTATCGTATTATGTTTTTTAAGCTTTGGCTGCGTTTGGGTACTTATCTTATGGTTTTAAGGTTTGGATGCGTTTGGGTACTTATCTTATTATGTTGTTTTAAGCTTTGGCTTTGTTTGGGTGCTTATCTTATTCTGATTTTTTAAGCTCTTGCTGCTTTTGGGTACTTATATTATTATGTTTTTTAAAGCTTTGGATGCGTTAGGGTACTTACCTTATTTTGTTTTTTTAAGCTTTGGCTGCATTTTGGTACTTATCTTATTATTTTTTAAGCTTTGGCTGCGTTTGGGTACTTATCTTATTGTGATTTTTTTAAGCTTTGGCTGCGTTTGGGTACTTATCTTATTGTGTTTTTTAAGCTTTGGCTGCGTTTGGGTACTTATCTTATTATGTTATTTAAGCTTTGGCTGCGTTTGGGTACTTATCGTATTGTGATTTTTTTTAAGCTTTGGCTGCGTTTGGGTACTTATCTTATTGTGTTTTTTAAGATTTGGCTGCGTTTGGGTACTTATCTTATTATGTTATTTAAGCTTTGGCTGCGTTTGGGTACTTATCTTAATATATTTTTAAGCTTTGGCTGCGTTTGGGTACTTATCTTATTGTGATTTTTTTAAGCTTTGGCTGCGTTTGGGTACTTATCTTATTGTGTTTTTTAAGCTTTGGCTGCGTTTGGGTACTTATCGTATTGTGATTTTTTTTAAGCTTTGGCTGCGTTTGGGTACTTATCTTATTGTGTTTTTTAAGATTTGGCTGCGTTTGGGTACTTATCTTATTATGTTATTTAAGCTTTGGCTGCGTTTGGGTACTTATCTTAATATATTTTTAAGCTTTGGCTGCGTTTGGGTACTTATCTTAATATATTTTTAAGCTTTGGCTGCGTTTGGGTACTTATCTTAATATATTTTTAAGCTTTGGCTGCGTTTGGGTACCTATCTTATTATGTTTTTTAAGCCTTGGTGCGTTTGGGTACTTATCGTATTATAGTTTAGGTCTGTTTTCATGTGAGGATGGGATTAAATTCTGTATTCAAAAAGGTAGTAAAAACTTTGTTTTAATGCATATCGTGATGTAATATGTCAGATAATATCTAAAGTATCTTAAGAGGCGCCATTTAAATTGTGTTCCCCATATTTCGACTGTGGTTTCTGAAATACCTTTTCATACGAAAAAGGATCCAACTGATCTACATTAAAATACTACATAGGTGTAGCTCAGTCGGTCAGGGTGATTTTGATCATGTTATGAGAATTACATTCAGTTTTGGATTTTACTGTATACTGTATACTACTTCAAAACAGACCACTGAGGATAATTCCTAAAACTGTGTAGAGCCATGGAGTTTATATTATTATCGTTTTTGAGATAACTCAAAGCATTAACTTGCACATGCCAGAGTGCATATAGATACTGATCTTCATGTATACCACCCACATGGAAATAGGGTGTTAGGTATTGGTGTTATTCACAAGGCCAATGTTTTTGTAACTAATCTTGGTTTCCCTCCCGTTTCGCTGGCCCATGGCAGTTTATAATTTGGATTCAATACATTTTGTTACTGAAAGCCTTTGATTAGGCAATGTCATACTACGCTATGTAAATGTGATTGGCTGTTACTAAAACTATGTTATACTTCAATTTTATTAACAACCGTTAAATAGAAATTAATTACACCTTTGAAGCTGTGGATAATATTACATATTCATCATTTTTCTCTACGACGAACAACTAGTGGAAATTTCAAGACGCTAGTCCTATTGGTGTTCTCTAAAACTGTGCCTAAACACTTAAATACTTAACTTTTGGGATATGTAATCCAAACATGGCACTAAGTAGGTGTAAACATTATGTATTTTTATTTAGCTGTTAATATGTGAGTAACGCAAAAACGTATATACTTTCTTAGACAGCATACAATGGGCAAAAAGCTATATCATCTTTTAAAATATAGTTAACCCATTTTACAGCATACTACCCTTAAAGTAATATATAATGTAATTTCTTCTCTGCTCTCACTCTGATTGAAAGTATGGGTTGAGTTAATCTATTATATGAATAAGGTTCGCCCACTCACTTCCTTATACTGTGCGTTCGTTTCATTATTCTTTTTTAATTCAGTGCAAACTATTATATATCCAAAGTAACTTACTTCTGTCCAAAACACGATCATCATAAAGTTCTATGTCTGTTAAAAACTAATTGTGCTAAAAGATGAAATTAGAAACTGAAAAGTTATAGTTGGACTTATCAAGTAATAAATCTAATAACCAATACTACAACAACATCTAAAATCGTGAATTTTAGACCATTCATATTAGGAATGAAATAAGTATGATGACCAAACTTAACATCAGCACATTCTACTTCAGAAATAAATACAGATCAGAATAATAAGACTCTAAACGTGAATTCAGCTAGCCATCCACAACGACAATCTACTTACCTAAACTTATTACCAGACGAACGCTAACATTTTTGACACCTAGTGACAGCAATGAACATTCTCCGCATACATTGAACATCCACGACGTAATGACAATGATCACGATTTAATTTCCATCGACCAACACAATGAGGTCGGCGGCGATGAGTGTGGGTGCGAGGATGAGCTCACCCGCCTGGAGGCACACGTCCCAAAACCGGGTCTTTCAGAACCAAACTCGAAAACCTTCACGGCTCAATTTACTCGGTGGTCCATCAACAACTCTTAATCATGTAGGAATTAGGCCAAAGGGAAGATGCGCAGGCAATTAGTATGTCGCATATGCGTAGATGTAAACATGTGATCAATAGACTCGAGAATCAACTATCGCATCCCATATTGGGTGGTATTGGTTGATTACCGAAGGAAATGAGTTGGTGTGGCGGAGTGCGTAAAGTGGATTTTCAAATTATTCTCGCAATTGCAGACACAGGTTTGAGTGTGTAGACAAATCAATGTAAAAGTTGCCTAAGGACTCAAAAGAAGTTTGATCTTATAAATATTTGAGAATATTGCCTACACGTAGGCTTTATTTTATGAATTGTCTCAGCCGGAGCAATGGTTATATCAATTATCTTCCATCCTGAAGATCTGAGGTTCAAATCTCAATGGTTTCATGCAATGTGATAATGGGACCCAGTGGCTCGTCCACTACAATTTGTAGTCTAGTTGAGTAGAAGTCTTGTGGGTAAGGAAAATATTATTCATGGGAGAAATACCTCCTATAGCCACGAGAAACTTAAATATTTTTTCTCCTGTGAACTGCTCATCGGATTTTAAAAACTTTTGTTTAGAGGTTGAAAAAATCATAGTTTAAGTCAAAATATTTATGTACATATTCTGACGAAATAATAACAATTATAATTTTAAAAGTTCATAGCAAATCACATACGTGGTTTCAATAGCTTTAAAATTAGATACTTCGCAACTAACTTTTTATATCAATAAACAATGCCGAATATGCTTCATCCATTAAAATTGCCGTTATGGGCGGAAAATCCAAGATGGTGGTCCTACCTACACTTAAGATAATGTCTAAAAATCGTTTTTAAACTGCCTACGATTTTTACACGAGGATGGAGTGTCTATTTCACGGTATTGAATTTATATATTGTATATTATATTTATAGTAAAGAACAATCTAAAATTATACAAAGTACCGATAGTGACATTGCACCATATATGTTTTCCTAACAACCATTGTGGTCATTGAAACATGTAATTAAATGTCTAAGTAAAAACTATACAAGACCCACCAAATTCTAAGCCCACCCAAATTGCTCTTTTTGTAAGAAACCAAACACAATAAAACCATGGAACTCCATAACTGGCTTTACGAGGTAAATTATTGACCAATTGTGTCAAACACATCACGTGCAGTCTTGTACGGTAAGGTGAAGGATAAAATGGCACTTATCATCACACAGACCGCAGCGAACACCACCAGACACCAGACGACAGGTGAATTTAAACTGAAATGTCAATGTGTTTTTGGTGTACACAGCTGCACAGGTCTTTCTCGATTAGACATTCCATCCCCATGTTAAATTTGTAACCAGGAATTTCATCAAAATCGTCGTAATTGATGTGAGCCACCTACAGATTGCACTGATCTTATTACTAAATTCTGTCGAGTACACAAACCTTTTTACCAAGTCAAAGTTAGATGATGACTAATGGTGAACTATAGTAACTTTTATGATCCATCAACCTGGTCAGCAACAAAAAATTGTATAAAATAAAAATTTAGACGCTCATTCTGTGACTGGCTCACAGAATTACGTTCACACGTCAATAGAATGCGAAAGGTTTCATACATAGTACAAATACACAACGGTTGGTATT